TTACCCTCTGTCACCCACAGTTGGGAAAAATTACATGAAAAATTCCAGAAATTAGCAATTCACAAGTTTTAAATTGCACATCATTCTGAGTAGTGTGATGCCATCCTGTGCCATCCGTCTCTCACATGCCAACCTGAGAACCATCCCTGTGCCCAGCATGTCCACCCTGTGTTCCTCCCATGAGCCACTTAGTCACTGAGGAGCCGGCTCTGTGGTCAGATCTGCCTCAGCATCACAGGGCTTGTGTGAAAGTCCCCTGATGTTACTTAACAATGACCCATCATTGCAGTGATGCTGGCCAGTGGGGTGTGGTAATGAGAAGCCTTCCTTTAAGTGAAGAGGAGAAAGCTACTATGCACAGGGTGTGGTGCTATCCGTGGGCCAGGCACCCACTGGGGTCATGGATCCAATGCCCCTGACATATGAGGTGACTGTCTTCCTCCTGTACCTGGCATAGGCTTGCTGTGTGCATATGTGTATGCATATGTGTGCTGATATCCATTGATCTGAATCTGCATGATTTCCTGCCATTTTCCAAAAACAATTGGGTGACTTAATGAGAAAATTTCAGGCACTACTTTTCAGCAGTTATGATAAATCTGGGACAACTGACACCAGCCCCTCCTCCTTAGAAGAGAATGTTCTCTCTCCTTCTGGTTTCCTCTCAGCAGCCTGTAGATTCTATGGAGCAGCCAGGGAGGGAGGACTCACATCCAAGTCCATCTCCTCCTCTGCTTTCTGGGGTTCCCTGGACATCCGGGTGTGAGCGGTTTGGTGGAGAGAGCCTGACCCCTTTCTACACGGAGGAACCCCCTGCCCGACCTCCCCCATCAGTGTCCTCATTCCTTCCCCTGGGCTATCAGGGGTGAGGAAGGGCCAGCACATAGTCTCTGATGTCAGTCCAGGTACTCACGCTCCAGGTACTGCTTCTTCCTCCACCCTGCAGGAGAAATGGGAGGGGTCGGTGAGGGGGTAACCAGGGACCCCAGAACCCTCCTGGCAGGGGATTGGGACTTACTGAGCTCTTCCTGCAGATTCTCTGGAAATAAGCAGAAAGAGAAGGTGCTGTCAATGAGATGGAAAGGGGGACCCGCGCCTGGGTGGGTGGCCTGGGGCAGGGAGGTCCCACCCACCTGCAGCCAGGCCTCACCTTTGGCGCTTCGCTCCAGCTGCTCCTTCATCCATGCTGCTTCTTTCTCAGCTCGCTCATGCTCCTTCGCCGCCAGCGCTGCTTCTTTCTCAGCTCGCTCCCTCTCCTTCTCCTGGCTCAAGGCCCTGATTCTCTTCTGCTGTTGCCACCACGAGATCACCAACCCAGCCAGAAGCCCCAGCAGAGCCATAAGGGTCACCCCAAAGGCCACCTGCCAGGGCTTCGTGCTGGAGAAGAAGGGGCCTGGGGAAGGAAAGCCTCAGCTGTTGGCCTGAAGGGTCACGAGGTCTCTCAAGAGGGGCAATGACCATTGTCTTCCCTAAAGTTCCCAGAACTCTTTCTGTCACATATACTAGGACCGCAGGAAGTCCTATTCTTGCAGGAACCTTCCTGCAACGGGCCTCTAGTATATATACATAAAAAACATAAACATCTTCTTATTTTTCTTGCTTACACCACAGGCAGCATCTACGCAAGCTGCTCCACAGCTCGTTTCTCAGTGCATCGTGGGCCCTGAGGACCTTTCCCTCTCGGCATGGAGAGCACAGCCTCCACTGCACAGGAACCCCCATGGGTGGCATTTGAACTCTCTCTGACTATTGTTATTATAACTGATGCTCCAAGAAATAACTTTATGCCCTGGCTGGTTTGGCTCAGTGGATAGAGCACTGGCCTGTGGACTGGAGGGTCCCAGGTTTGATTCTGGTCAAGGGCACAAGCCTGGGTTGTGGGTTTGGTCCCAATCAGGTGGCAGCCGATGATTCCCTTACATCATTGATGATCCTCTCTTTCTCTCCCTCTCCCTTCCTCTCTGAAATCAATAAAAATATATTTTTTAAAAAGAAATAACTTTGTCCATCAGTTATTTCACATAACCCTGAGCTGATCTGTCAGATATATTCCTAGAACTGGGATTTTGTCAATAAATAAGTAGATTGTATTAAGATTCTTCTACTCCCCCCCCCCAATATAAGGTGTGTCAATTTATACCAACTGATAGCAACACACGTCTAAGAGTGACTGTCTCCCCACAGTCCTGCCATCAGTGTTACCAACTACATGGTTTGTTTGCTGCCAATCTCACAGGTGGAAACGTCTCCCTGCTCAGAGAGACTGGACATCCTTCCCCGAGGTATTTCCTTCTGGGAACCATTCATTTCTGTACTGAGCTGTTTACTGTTTTGAGGAGCTCAGCCCTTTCTCCAGGATGTGTCTGCACATACTTTCTCCACTTTGTCATGTGTTTGCTGACATTTACCATTTGCCCATCCCCATCGCCTGTCCCAGGTGGAGGCAGCAGGGATGCTCAGAAAATGTCTGTGACATCAACAGCTTCATGAGGTAAAGGGCACCCAGGTGCCTGCTCTGAGCCTTATGTTCACTGCACAGACCCAGGTCAGCAGCAGACACTCAGGCCTCCTTCTCCCTGTGGCCACAGCTGAGCTCAGTGTGGGGCAGGGCACTCACCTGCAATGGAGACTCTGGCTGTCTTCTCCTGGCTGAGCAGGGGGTTTCTGACGACACAGGAGACCCCCTTCCCAGAGCCGCCTTCCAGGATCACAGAGGATGTGACTGCATACAGACCCTCTCCATCTGCAGCCCCAGGCGCTGCCATGGCGGGCAAGCTCTCTCCACCTTCACCTCTCCACTCTACGTGGGGCTGTGGATACCAGCCTGCAGACGTGCACTCCACACGGATTCCTCCATCCTCATAGCCCTTCATTTCAACATGAAGATCAGAGCCCAGGGCTGGGGAAGGAAGAGGGAGCCTGAGTCATGGGGAGGCCTCTGTGTTGGTGAGGGTCCATCAGGAATGGGGGCTCACTCCACTAGATCACGCAGGCAGGGTTCACTGAGGAGCTGTTACCACGTGTGCTGTGCAGGGGAGACTGTTCCATGAGGTGACCACTGCCTGACCCTCATGGACCCTCGAGCTCGATCCAGCTGGATCTGAGCCAGAACAGAGACTGCTTCCCATGGATCCCCTCAGAGACTCCTGGACCTTCCCCTTGCCCAGTGCTGGTTCCTGGAACTGGCCCTCACCCGCTCTCAGGCATGTAACTCATTCCCCTTATCTGGGCGGGTCATGCCCCAGTCCCCTATCTATCCTGCCTGTCCTGTGTGAGCTTTAGGCTTTGCCAAGTGGTGGGGAGAATATGCACATTCTATTGCTGCCGCCCATGCTCTTCCTGGTATGAAAGTCACCGTGGTGAACTCTTGATATCATTAATCTAGAGTTTACAACCTCTTTTTTGGGTCTTTGGACTCGGGGGAATTTTTATTTTGTGGTTGTGGAAGGGGTAAGACTACATGGGAGAGAGCTGACCCAGGGCCTGGAACAGTGAGTTGTCACCACCAGTACCTAAACTCTTAACCCAAGGGGAGGTGAGAGGAAGCCTTTTGAAGACTTGCAATAACCTAGTCCTGTAGGGAGGAGCTGTGGTCTCAGGAAGGGATGTAGCTGAGGAGGCCCTGCAGGGAGAAAGATAGGACCTCCCACCTCCACCTCCTTCCTTCCTGTTTAAGGCAGGGCTGTGCCCCGAGAAAGAGAAATGACGTTGGACATGAACAATGTCATGGAACAGCAGCATCAGACAAGGATGCTTTGTCCCTGTGATGGGTCAGGACAAAACAAGACCACTCAGTCATCAGGTCTGAACACAGACTAAAACATGAACAGTGTCCAGACCACAGCAGTGAGCAGTCATCCCCTGTCCTAGGTGTGAGTGACCAGTTACACCTCACACCATCCTGACAGCATCTGATCCAGAGCAAAGCCCTCCTTCCATAAACCCTCCCCTAGTCTCCTATCAGCCCAAAGTTACACCAAGTCTCCCTGACACCCCCTCATGGGGACACCCCATGTTTCTACACTGTGTGTTCTCCTCACTGCAACTAGTCCTGAGCTCAACTTGTTCAACTGCAGGAGTGATCCTGGGGCCTTTGGTCAGAGGACCTGGCAGCACAGTTGAGGTCCCTGCTGATCAGCCTCCCTGGACCCACAGCAGTGAGAACCTGGGGGGCCCAGGTCCACTGCCTGGAGCTCAGAACCACCTCAGGCTCACCTGCAACCTTCAGCTCCACCTGGGCTTTTGCAAGGAAATCATCATCTTGGAAATAACACTGGTAGGTTCCACTGTCAGAGGCTCTGACCTTGTGAATCCGCAGGACAGCCTTCCCCTCAGTGATGTCCTCTCTTAAAATTGACGTTCTCCCTCGATACTCTGCTATCTCTGTTTCTTCCTTGCCATGTGCATATGCATGCACCACCTGCCTGAGGCCGGATCGCCGCCACATCAGCTCCATGGTCTCAGCACTCTTCTTTGGGGACAAATGACAGAGCAGCTCAGCATCTTCACCCACCATGGCCAGGATGGGCTCAGGGGGTCCAATCACAGCAACCTGAGCTGGTGAGCAGAAAGGGGTGCTCCATCAGAGGGAGCTGGAGGCAAGAGGGTAAGGGGGTGTCCCAGGTAGGGAGGGTGAGGTAAGAAACACCTAGAGAGGGACTCAGTTCTGACAGGTGTACAGTGTATATGGGCCTCCCAGGTGTGGGGAGGACTCGAAGGTTCTGACTGGGCATTATAGGTAACTGCTCCTGGTACATAATTGCAGATGGTCCCTACCTGAGCAGGGTGTGAGCAGCTGGACCAAGGCAAGGAAGACGGGGAGGTGGAGCTGATTGAAGGCCAGGGACCTCACCATTGTGGGCTGTTGTGCAGACAGAGAGACACCAGAAGGAGCTGGTAGAAATGACAACCTGGAGGATGATGGAGAATCCACATGAGACCTCTGCCTCCCCAGTGCTGAGTCCAGGTGCAACCCCATCACTGGTGACCCCAGAGCCTCCTCTGAAATGTCTGTTTGGGAGTCTCTTCACCTTTGACTCCGAAATGGAAAATCACCCTAAAGCAGTGGTTCTCAACCTTCCTAATGCTCCAACCCTTTAATACAGTTCCTCATGTTGTGGTGACC